CAATCCCAATCCCAATCCCAATCCCAATCCCAATCCCAATCCCAATCCCAATCCCAATCCCAATCCCACTCTGGTTTTAGGGGTTTGCAGTAAGGACAGTTGACAGTGTCAGTTGACTTTTCGGTATCAAAGTTCCACAAAATGAAAGATAGAATGAATGATAGAAAAGATTTATCCACTTTTTCCACAAGGCATGGCAATGAATTTTTTTTCCTATCGAAACATTGCTGATTTCTGACGCACAATAACAATACTTTCAAAGAAAAAGTAGTGCTATTCTCATTTTCAGTGAACTCTGAACTAGATTCTTTTATGTTCTTTTTAAATGAAATGTTCTAAACTGAACACTACAACACGATTTTCTCACATTATTTTTAACTTATGCAATTTTCAAAAATTCAAAGATTTTAATGAAAACAAGATCAGTGCCAGTTTTTAATCTTTCTTTGCCCTATCCTTGGGAAAAAAAATTGCAGCTGTTTGTAAAAAAATGTTTGTTTTCTTATAAATTGCATGCACTCCAAATTTTGTCTTTAAATTTTTCCATGGATTGAGTAAAGATGGCTCATTTTCGCTGAACTCTTTGAATAAATTCCAGTACCACTAGAATGAATGATTTTTGAATGAATGAATGAAGAATGAATTTTGAAATGAAATGAATGAAATTTGAATGAATTCCAGTACCACTAGTTACCTTGGGTGCTGTTTTATATTTTTAAGTCTTGTTTTACATTTTAAAATTTTTATTTCATTTGAGAGAAAATTGTATAAAAGCCACTACCTCAATGTATGAGAAATTTGTCATTAACTTTCTAACCCAATTTGGTTATTCTTACAGGCTGACAAAGACTACTTTGAATCTGCTCTGAGTTTTGGAATGGTTTCTCCTGTCTATACAATCCCTAGTTTAAGAATTTCTGGGAAAAGAGATTTCACACAACCTGAAAAGAGAATAGAACTTATGTTAGAAAGTTTACATCCTCTAGCTGAAATGGTAAGTATAGATATTAAAATATTTGATATGCAATTCTGAAATGGAGATAAAGATAGTAGTGGTTTATTATTCAAATGGGAATATTTCATATTAAAGCCAAAATAAAAAATGTATTGCTATCATTTTATTTTTTCCTATCATTGTCTATGGCATATGTAGTCATACAAAAATACATCTATATGTATTATCACCAACAAAAGTGTCAGTTGACCCTCAATGTGTGAGTAAAATATGACATGTGTTACCATTACTGTCAGTAGGCAACCTATGTATGAAATGACAGGTTTAAAAGAATTACCTGTTTCTAGATGTGAAAGGTACACATTTCCCCTTCAATAAACAAGAAACAAGAAAAATTGTCACAGGAAACAATTGATGGATAACAAGAGCTCTTGTTATTTAATGCTGATTTATTTGTGTTATGCTTTCATATACTCTCAACACTGGTTACATAAAACATTCTCTTCTTACACATCCTTTGTCTTTGTATTCCACTTAGGGTGCAAATTTTTACTTGTATTATCTCTCCAATTCTACTTTATACTTCTCACATACACCTACAAGACATCGTGAAAGTTGCATTTTAAAAAAGTTCAAAAATGTGGTAAAAATATAAAGAATAAAAATATGGCTACTACAAGCAATACATAATTTTTTTATTTGACAGTACAAGTTTCAAGGCCATTGGAATTTACAAAGTAGACAAAATTTTGGCCTTGGTATGACACTCAATACTCCATATGAATCAATGCCATCAGCAACATTTGGAGTAGCGTACAGAATGGCAAACGATAATAGTACCACTCAGTTGAATATTATTTTGTCTCCTCTTCCTCAACACACTTGGAAACTGGATTCCATTGTAATTGGAGATCAAATTTCTACAGATCTGGAGACACCAATTGAAAATTATAGGTATGCTAAATATATTTTCCTACATAATATTTTTTTAAAGTAAAACAAAGCAATACAGATATAGATAATTTTCTTCAACATTTTCAGCAAATTAGCTCTCAATGGAACTTTAACATCAGACAAGGAAAATTCATACACAATAAAAGGAACTCTAAAATGTGAAAATAGAATTTACACTGTGGATGGAAGTACTTCAGCAAATGCTGAATCTCCACTTCAGGTATGGACAATAATTTTAAATGATATTCTCAGTCCCAAGTTAATTTGTCCCAAATTATTGGTAAAATTTAATCATATTATTACTTTTTACAAATAATGAGGGGTGGATCTAGAGGGGAGTCATGGTCTCAGATTGGTCATGGTCTCAGTCTCAGATTGGCTAACAATTTATATTATATTGAAATAATATACATATATGTGTGTATGTGTGTGTGTTTATGTGTGTGCATAAAATATATGTATACATATATTATTTCAAAAAGCCTTCAATTGCCTCCCCCTGAAATATTTGCTGTATTCATCCCCGCCAATAACTAGACTTCACTGAAGATGTTAATTGAAAATGTTGGACCGCAATAGTATATGCGAGTATTTAGTCATAAATAATTTGAAAAGTAATGTTTTCTTCTGATGAACAGGCAGAATTGACCCTTGCTGACCAGAATGATGGAAGTGTCATTCTAATTCATGCAAATATTAAACCAGTTGAAAATGGATTCAATTTGTCTTGTGGAATGCAAAATGGGAAAGAAAACTTTGACCTTCAAGGACATTTACGAATGAAAAATCTTCTTGATTTTAATTATTTTGTTAAGGTGAGAAATACTTAACACTGATTCATGCAAATTTTTGAAGCTTTGTCATCAATTACAAAATTTCTCCTGATACTTGTTGAAATCTCACCAAAACATGTTTTATTTGCAGGCAACATCAACGCATGCAACGTATTCACTAATCTATTTTGATGGAACAGTATTTCAAATTTCAGATGGGAATATCACTGGAATATTTAATGCTGATACCTCTCTGCCTGGTTATAGGAAAATTAGATTTTTTAGCAATATTTCGTAAGTTTTGACTTCTCAGAGTATTGTATTTTACTTGAATATGTTTGTTTCCAGACGACTTCCATTTCCTTTCTGCCATATCATAATCATCCATTAATCTGTCTCAAGACAGCTTTCAGCAGACAATTTCCCTTTATGTTGTTCGTCCCTGTCAAGTCTTCTTCAGGTCTTCATAGCTTCTTTTAATGTCCATAAATATACCATTTCTTCTAATTTCTCCTACTTCTCATTACTTCAATTAGTATTTTCATTAAACTTGAATTGCCTTTTAAAATATGTTTCCCAAAACTTGATTTCTTCTTTATAAAATGGTATTTTAATAATTAAATTTGTTCAAAGAATCAGTCATCTCATTCCAGGATATGAACCCAGGTCTCCTACTTTATGCCCAGTTGTTCTAACCCCTAAGCTATCAAGACAACCAATTCTTTGAATAATTTGACAGGCCAGATATATTACCCATAACGATACTGTATACAATTGTCACCACCCTGTCATCTTTTTTAGACACAAATACAGTTCGAAATGTTCCACAAAATAAAGAATTGCAAGTTGTGACCATGTTACTGAGTAACAAATGTATTTTAATAATTAAATTTGTTATACAGTAACATGGTCATGACATCGATTTCTTTACTGTTGTGGAACATGTTTCTGAGTGCATCCAAAAAAGGTGACAGAGTGGTAACAATTACTTATAAAATCATATTAATAATTAAATTTCCTGTTTCCTTTTTTCTCTTGAGTATCTTCTCATTTTTTCTTATTTCCTTCATTTAATCTTTCTTTTTATTCTTAACTATAAAGTAGTCCCTATTTGCCTTAACCATCTCCAATTTTGTGTTTAATATCAAGAAATATTGTTTTCCAGGCTTAAAGAACAAGCTGGAGCATTGAAAACATCTTTGGAAACTGAAACTGTGAATACTCGTTTCAATTTGGAATGGGCCTTAAAACTTTTTGAAAACATCTTGCTGGCTTTTGATGGACATTATCAAGATCCTGAAATAACAAAATCTGGGACTCTCAAAGTTTTCTTTGCCTTTCCTCGAGGAAAAGGAAAAAATCCAAGGAAGGATGTATCTTTGGGAGCATATGTTAATCTTGACAAGGATGCATGGCTGTAAGGACATTTTGTACACAGTTTAATTTATAAAATTTTTAATGTAATAGTCAGGTCTTTTAAATTTTAAATTTAACAGACTTTTACAATCAAACTGAAATTTTGACTTTAAATAGTGAAACTTTACTTACTACTCATAAGTTTTTGTCTGAAGAAAATACACAAGTGATCTACATATTGCTAAAACTTGAAGATGAACATATATAAAATTGAAGCAACTCATCATTTAATATTTCCCTTTCATTTTTTAAAATATTTAATTGTAGTTTGGATTAAAAAATATGAGAGTTGGCTGAAAATGACACTACCACTAATTTTTGTATCATATTTTGATAGATATAAGCAGAATATTTTGAGAAAAAAATCAGAGCCATTTTTGTAAAAATAATTGTTTAATAATTTTTAAAATTGCCTGTATTTCAAACAAAGTAAAGGGAAAGCTACTCACACTTTTTAAAAATTGTACATGGCCTTATTTCAAGATCTGTCTTTTAACCACAGATTTTAAGTACAAATCTCTATCTTGAATAATTTCCCATTCTAAACAAATTTTTAACTTTTACAATTTTAGAAAAATTAAGGTTATCAATGAAAAGACCTGCGCCATTTTTAAGTGTGTTAAGTTATCCAAATAAAAAAGAATGTAGCCATTTTTGAGAAAATTTTGAAAACGTTGAAGCTCCACATAATGTATCCCCAAAAATCAGATGTTTCAATCTCACCAGGTCTTGAGTTAATTCAGATCGATCAGGGAATATTAATTTTGTAAAAATTGTTTGAACAATTTAGGTGCTAGTGTTGATCACAGGAAGATGAACTGACTGGAATTTTACAGTCAATTTATTTTTGTCGTATCAAGAGCCACACACATTTGACTTTATATGTTAAAGGAAGTAATTTACAAAATGTAGGAACAAGATGTATGCATTTTGTCATTATTGGGGCCCAGCAATAAGATTTTTGTCAAAAAATTGCAGATTTCTGGCAAGTGATTACAATGCTTCCTCTTCTTTACAAAATATATGATACCTCTTTTTTAACTTTTTATTAATATTACATTAAAACACATTGTGATTACAATATTGCATACTACAGAAAAAAATGTATGGATGTTATTTTGGGTCTAATTAATCTGACTTTTGCCAGCTAGTGGGCTTGAACACAATTAAACAAGCCATTAAATCTTCATTTCTCATTGAAAAGAGGTTGAATGAACACGAATATGGGTACAAATTCTGAGCAGTGCTGAGACTTGAACCCAGGTCCCTCAGGTTTTATAGATATGATCTTGAAATAATTATTGAGAGAATGAAAACTGGTTTGTTGCAAAACTTCACTTGCTTATGTCAGCAGAACATGATAAAAATTATTTTCATTCTTTGTTGAGTATAAATTATTTTTATCAATTTAAAATATCTTGATCAAGATAATCTTGTAATTGACTGCAATTCAATGCTTGATTCAAGTATCTTGTTAAAGCCACAAACACATGTGAGACTCTTGGCTGCTCCTGGTCTCCTTGCTCCCTCCTATCCTAACTTATATCTGCCATTATTTTTAACACTATTAGAGCAGTTTCCCCTCTTCAACCCCCCTTAAACCCTTCTTAAGGAGAGTTTCACAGACCATATTCTCTTCCCAGATACTACCAACTCAAATGCCCATCTTCATTGTGGACTCAGAAATACACAAGGCCCTTTAGTCATTGCAATCAAGGAATGAAATTGAAAGGAATTAAAGTTTCATCAAATATATGAATGCTAAGTGAAACCATAAATATCTGAGAACTATATTTTTTGTTAGCACATAACTCTTGAGATGTATGAGTTCAATTATTTTTACTGAAATGGCCAATGAAACCATTTATTCACATGATAAACTTTCAAAATAGTACAATGAAATTGAGGAAAAGGGTTCCTTTGTAATTTCAAATTTTAGCATGATCTAATACTGTTTATAGCTTTTTCTTAATTTGTAATAAAAAATTAATATTTGCAGATTTGGCTCAAATGCAACATTGTCATTTTCAACATCAATCGAAGATATTGATGTTCAGGCACATGTGATACTTCCTCCTCCACGATATGATATTCATTCATTTCAAGGACAAATGCATTTTAATGAAAAATTTGACGACTTAAAATTTTTGGCAAAGTACAAAACAGCCATCACTAAAAAGAACTATGGATTATCCAGCAGGGTAAATATCAGTATGAAACTGTTTTTAATGGTATGAATCCTAAAAATATTTTTATAAAATATGTCTTGGTATCATTTCAGTATTTGGTTAAAAATGACAACATTAATGGAAACGTTCAAATGGAATTTGGACCAGGTCAACTTGATTACATTAATAATGTTTTTAATGTGAGACGTGATAATACCACAGTTGAAGGAACATATGTTTTAACTACACCTTTATATGAAGAAAATACATTAAGAGCAACTGCTTTATACAAAGTACTACCGGAGTTCAATATTGTCAGGTACAATGAATGACTTAACATAATATTCTTTATATTCGGTACTAATTCTTAATACACAGAAATATATAAAGAATTTAATAAAAAATAGTGCAGTTTATTCCCCAATGAATAAAACATTATCTCATTTACAGAGCACAACTATTCTATCCAGAAAGTCAAAATGTATCCAAAGTCATGGTCGATTTTAAAGATTTTGGAAATATGAATGGAACACTAATATCTAATACTCCCTTAGAAAACCTTCCTTATGCTGGTGTTCATTTCAGAGCAGCAACCAAAAAGTAAGTTTTCATTTCAATTTTTAAAATTAATTGTCTGTAATTCTGGTAAGGTAATTTGATATATTGAACTCTTTTTCCAGCATTCATCATGAACGTTTTGCAGAAGTATTTTGGCCAAACAACACAGCTCTCTTTGATTCAAAATATGTGTATCAAAGAACAACCAGCACATTTACAACAGAATTAAAAGGCTCATTACTAGTTGAAATTCCTTTAGCTACACGTCATACAGGGAAGATTAACTATAATTACATGGTACAGAAAAATGTTTACTTTATTTTTAAACATAATAATCTATGATACCTTTTTTTCTGGGGAATTAATTAAACCATTTGCACTCTTACATTTCTGCAGGAAAAATCTCTTAATAAAACAGGACATGCCTCCATTGAATATAATGATAATCAACTTTTGGAAGGCAATTACAAATGTGTGTCAGAATCGTCAGCTGGAAGAGAAAAGGATAAGATTGAAATTGACTTAGAAAATGAATATTTTCCTCTTGGGATCTTTTACACCCATGAAAATCGGTATAGTGGTGGAAATGAAGGAACAAATCTACCAACAATAGTAAGTTTGACATATGTACAGTTTGGAAACTTGTAACTCAAACATTTCAAAAGAAATAATAATGCTGTGCAATGAACTTACAGTGATAAATGAAAGTGATACTTGGAACTCATTTACCTGTGCAGAGTCAAGGGCTTAGTGTTATAAGTGGTTTTGAAATGTCATCGATATCATTTCCATTATTGTTATCATAGTATGTCTTCTGTTAAGAAAAATTGTGACCAAAAATTCAAGAGATTCAGTTAATCAGCTAATAAAGAATAATTTGCCTTTCATTCTAACAGTAATTCAAATTTTTATTACAAATGTTAATTATTCATTAAATCTTAATAACCTATTTTCTTAAAAAATATTAGCAAACCAAAATTTGCTTTTTTACTAAATCTCTTTTCAAACATCCATAGTAGCACTTAGATAAAAGGAGTACCAACACCTAGTGATTAGTTGATATTAGATGAAAAAATATCATTATCACGTAATTGAATTGATAGGTTGTTGAGTGAAGACCAGTTTCACTATATTGTGTTCCATAACCTTCCCAGTGTCCTCCCCACCCCTCTACCCTCCCCATCTGATATTATTGAAATGTTTTTATTTCATATTTTGAAGTAGAACACATTATTGAATATTAACCAAAAGGGCAATAAAGGATATCTATACACACAGCAGTTTTCCAATTTTTTATTAACAACTTTGTTATAATCATTTTCACTTCTAATTTTAGGATATAAAACATGCTGAAGTTTTTAAACTTAACAACATGACAGCTTTCCATCTAACAGGTGAACTGAAAATAAAAACAACTCATTCTGGACAAGACATTTTAATGACAGGTAATTATGGTCTTTGAGAAAAGTTTAAATTCTTATTCACAAATACACTGGTTCTCATCTCTTAATGTGTTTTCTCCTATTCCAGCAAAACATCTACAAAGAGTTGTTACATTACAAACTGATTATGATCAGAAAGATAATGAATTTACGCATCGATCAATGTTAACATTAGATCCTGATTCCTGGGCGAGTTACGATATTACTATTGTTAATAAAACTACAGTGAGTATTCATCTTTAAAAAATAATAATAAATAGTTTCCCTTACCTGTATTTTATTATATTAATTATTTCAGGATGAAAAAGATGAAGAGCACATAGATCTCAACTTTGCTTATCCTCAAAGAAATTTCACAGTGTCTGGTTATTATCAACTTGCAAATAATTCGTTATCATCAGAAATGAAATTTGTGTGGGATAAAGAGACGAGAAGTGTGGGAACTTCATTGGATTGGAAAAGGTTGAGTTACAAACCAAACAAGCAACATGCAGTTTTCAGTATTAAGCATCCTTCTTTTATCAGAGTATGTATTTAAACCACACTAAACACTTATAATTTGTCATACTTTTTCTTGTCAAACTATGTTAGTATCTGTTTCCTTAGGACATTACTTTAAATGGAATATACTACAGTGATGATAAAGACTTAATAAATGTATCAACAGACCTTGTATACTCAAATGATGCAAGGAAAAAGCTTTCTTTGTCTGGTAAAATACAAGATATTTCTCAGGGAAGAAATAAAAAGTATCAGTACCAAATTTTGGGTTCACATCCAGCAACAAGGTAAGATTTAATGTGAACGTGAAACTATAATTTTTTTAAAGTGTTAACTCAATACTTTATCCTAGAACCTTCTTAAGCCCTTTTTTATTATTAGGTTGGATCTCAATGCATATGGAGGAATAATTTTGGAAAGAGGATTTTACAAAACTAATAATAAAGCCAGTTATGGACGCTCATATCTTTCAACACAAACTGGAGAATTAAATGGAATGGTAAATACGCATGAAAAAGAAATTGATTTTGAGGTAAGAGACTGATTGTTACAGAATGAAGTTGATTAATGTCATACAAGGCAATTTAAGTATGCCCTCTAATTGTTTAGAATTTACAAAATTGAAGAACTTATATTACTGATTTAAATAAACACCTTTATATACATTGATTTATGCACTACACAACTTTCTTGTAGGAAAACTCACTTTTCCTTGAAATCATAAAACTTAGATTTGTACCTTCTGTTGTATCTACAAATTTAAAAGTTAGTGTTGAATCAGTAAATCCATGAGTTACATGATTTCATCAATATACGATTGTAAACATTTCTGAAAGTAGTGTTACTTTTATGGCTCTATGCAAATATTGTCTGATTTAAATCAAGCATACTGCTTGACAACATTCTATGTGTTTTACAAAAATTAATAATATTGAAAATACATTCTGTGTATTCAGCAAAAATTAATAAAAAACTGATATTCTATGCAAGGTGGTTTTAAACTAATGGTGCAATGCAACACAAACTGCTCAATTATTGATATATGTTAAAAGTACTAATAATTTTTTTTTTTTTCTTTCTGTTGGCACACTGCTCATTTTGGCCTTGGCCTAATATCTGCTTTATCACAGTATAACCAAAAGGTTTCACACTATACAAATTAATTCTTTTATAACTGATAATAAAGTTACTTAAGTCTGACATTAAGCAAATAGTATCACAAATATGAGAGTTCTGTCAGATAGAGAAACCAGTGAACTTCAAAGTGAAGTGACAACAAATATAATGGTACACATTTTCACTCTTTGGAATACAATATCATATTATATTAGATTAAATTATGACGCCCTACATTGAATTATGCAGTGCAATTAATATTTAGTGCTACCATTTCATATCAGTATAATAATCTGCTATTTTGATTTACGAATGTTCTTAATAAAGAAGTAACCTGTTCAATTAAACATTACACAGTAAGAAATGCAGCTTCAACCACAGAACTACACTGCACTGACTCACAAATTATTCATATGTTTAATTAAGAAGGAAAGAAACAGTGTTATCAAGCAGCAGTGAACTGCAGGTGATGAGATTGCTTGCATGTGAATATTAGGTTTTTCAACGCAGCAGAACGTTGTTCTCTCTCTCTCTCTCTCTCTCTCTCTCTCTCTCTCTCTCTCTCTCTCTCTCTCTCTCTCTCTCTCTGTCTCTCTCTGTCTGTCTCTGTCTCTCTGTCTCTGTCTCTCTGTCTCTGTCTCTCTCTGTCTCTGTCTCTCTCTGTCTCTCTGTCTCTCTGTCTCTCTCTGTCTATGTCTCTCTCTGTCTGTCTCTCTCTGTCTCTCTCCGTCTCTCTATGTCTCTGTCTCTCTCTGTCTCTCTCAGTCTCTCTGTCTCTGTCTCTCTGTCTCTGTCTCTCTCTGTCTCTGTCTCTCTCAGTCTCTCTCCGTCTCTCTATGTCTCTGTCTCTCTCAGTCTCTCTGTCTCTGTCTCTCTGTCTCTCTCTGTCTCTGTCTCTCTCTGTCTCTGTCTCTCTGTCTCTTTCTGTCTCTCTCTGTGTCTCTCTGTCTCTCTCTGCGTCTCTCTGTCTCTCTCTGTCTATGTCTCTCTCTGTCTGTATCTCTCTGTCTCTGTCTCTCTGTCTCTCTTTGTCTATCTCTGTCTCTCTCTGTCTCTCTCTGCCTCTGTCTCTCCGTCTCTGTCTCTGTCTCTCTCTGTCACTCTGTCTCTCTCTCTTTCTCTCTCTGTCTCTGTCTCTCTCTGTCTCTCTGTCTCTCTCTGCCTCTCTCTGTCTCTCTCTGTCTCTCTGTCTCTTTCTCTGTCTCTCTCAGTCTCTCTCCGTCTCTCTATGTCTCTCTCTGTCTCTTTCTCTGTCTCTGTCTCTCTCAGTCTCTCTGTCTCTGTCTCTCTCTGTCTCTGTCTCTCTGTCTCTCTCTGTCCCTCTCTGTCTCTGTCTCTCTCTGTCTCTGCCTCTCTCTGTCTCTCTCTGTCTCTCTCTGTCTCTCTGTCTCTTTCTCTATCTCTCTCTGTGTCTCTCCCTCTGTCTCTGTCTCTTTCTCTGTCTCTGTCTGTGTCTCACCCTCTGTCTCTCTCTGTCTCTGTCTCTCTATGTCTCTGTCTCTCTCTGTCTATGTCTCTCTCTGTCTATGTCTCTCTCTGTCTATGTCTCTCTCTGTCTCTGTCTGTCTCTGTCTCTCTCTGTCTCTCTCTGTCTCTGTCTCTCTGCCTCTGTCTCTCTGTCTCTGTCTCTCTCTTTCTCTGTCTCTCTCTGTGTCTGTCTCTCTCTGTCATTCTGTCTCTCTCTCTCTTTCTCTCTCTGTCTCTCTCACTCTGTCTCTCTGTCTCTGTCTCTCTCTGTCTCTCTCTGTCTCTCTGTCTCTCTCTGTCTCTGTCTCCCCGCGCGCTGTGTCTCTCTGGTGTCCTCTCTGTGTCTCATCTGTGTCTCTCTGTGTCCTCTCTGTGTCTCTCTGTGTCCTCTTCTGTGTCTTCTCTTGTGGTCTGCTCTGTTTTGGTCCTCCTCTGTGTCTTCCTCTGTGTCCTCCTCTGTGTCGCCTCTCTGTCTTCGTCTCCTCTGTGTTCTCTGTTGTGTCTTCTTGGTCCTCTCTTGTCTCTGTCCTCTCTGTTTCTCTCTGTTCTCGTCTCTCTGTTCTCTTCGTCTCTTCTCTGTCTCTCTCTGGTCTCTCTCTGTCTCTCTCTGGTCTGCTCTCTTGTCTCTTTTTCTGTCTTCGCAGTCTCTCTCTGTCTCTCTCTGTTCTCTGTCTGTTGCTCTCCTGTCTCTCTCTGTCCCCTCTCTTCTGTCGTCTCTCTGTCTCTCGTCCATCTCTTTGTCTCTTCTCTCCTGTCTCTCTCGTGCTCTCCTTCTGTTCTCTCCTCTGTCTCTCTCTGTCAATCTCTCTTGTCCCCTCTCTGTCTTGTCTTCGTCCTGCTCTCTCGTTCTCTTTCTTCTCTGTCTTTCTCCTGTCTGTTTCTCTCTCTGTTCTCTCTTCTCTCATCATCGGTCTCTCTCTCTCTGTCTCTCGTGTCTGTCTCTCTTCTCTCTGTGCTCTC